AAAACTAACTTCCCAAATGAAAAAAAAAAAAAAAATTCAAAAAAGCCAACTTTTAGCTTTTGCTACAAACCAAAAAAAGTGACTAAAAACCAACTTCTCAAAACAAGCTTTTTTTTTTTTTTACTAATAGATGTGACATAATTTTAGAGATTTTGAGTCTTGTAGTTTGTGTTATAGGTGGAATTCATAGTTTTGAATTGCAGTTTTAAAAAAAAAAAGTTTGAATTGATATGGTTGGTTTGGGGTGTTCTAAAAAAGTATATTTTTTGTCTTTTTACGAAAAGATATGTAGAAAAGTAGAGAGGGGATGTGATGAAAAAAAGATAAAAAGATGGATTACATAGTAGATGCCAAACCACTCCTAAATGTGATATACTAATTGGTGTGTGTCAATTAGTACATGTAGTATTTTATTTTTCAGATAGGATAGTCATATTGGAGTTCGGTTTGTATTTTATTTTTCAGATAGGATGGTCATGTTGGAGTTCTGAGAACTCTCAACCAAATGGTATACTAAAATCTGTCTGACCTTTGCAGAGAAAAACATTCAAAATCTGTGATCACTTTCTGATGTCTCTCTGCCTCTGCCAGTGTGCCAGCCCAAATTCACAAAAAAATTGCCACAAGTCAGCAGGCAATCCCAGGTTGTCACTACTTTATATTCATCACATGAATTTCATGTACCCTCCAATGCTGTCAACAAAATAAAGAACTTTCAAAAAACAAAAAAAAAAGTGAATTAATTGTTGGGAAAATATTAGATAAATTGAAAATAAGAAAAAATAAATTATAAATCAATGAAATGTAAGTGATAATTGTTTCGTTTTTGCATAGTTTTCACTTGTATGTATGTCATCTCACTTGCAATTTATTGATTTGTAAACATTTTTCTTGCTTTTTATTTATTTGATTTGATTTTCCCTTTAATTGTCACACTCTTTTAGTGAGGGTAGAAAAGGACCAAAGAGGAAGAAAGTGAAAAACAATGGTAATGATTGTTTTTCACCCTTTTTTTTTTTTTTTTGAACTAAGGTAAAAATATTGGTATTTAAATCATCTTAACTAGTTTTGTAAGAGTAAGATCCTTCATCATTTAGGCTTATTTTGAAAAGATGGTAAAAAATAACTTTTTAACTTTTAACTAAACGCTTTTGACTTTTTTAGATAAATGATTTGAAAAGTTGATAAAAAGTTACTTTTAACTTTTTTGATTAATATTTGTTTATGATGTTAAATCACAATAAAATGACCAAACTATCCAATTCAATTTAAAATATTTACAACTTCAGCCATGTAGCACATTTTGACTCATGAGGGGTAGAATTATAATTTCACTGAGAGCTAAATACTAACTTCCCAAATGAAAAAAAAAATACAAAAAATCTAATTTTTGACTTTTGGTACAAACCTAAAAAAGTGGCTAAAAGCCAACTCCCTAAAATAACCCTTAAAATTGATTAGTCTAACCTTCAAAAATATATACTGACAGTAGACTTTGTCCAATCCTCGCACAAGCGGCTCACAATCAATGTGGGACGAATTCAAAACTGTTCCATTTTTTTTGTTATTTCATTTCAACAAAACAAAGGCATTTATTTATATTTCCCTACAAACCTCGTATATAGAAGTATAATTACACTTTTGCCCTCTCAATGAAGGGCTGAATTTAATTTGGCTCTTCCATAGAAGTTGTCTTCCCTAGCTAGTATTATGGAGAGAGAGAACACTTGCACTTTGCACACTGCTAAAAATTGCATATAATATGTCAATTTGTAAAGGTATCAGAATGATTCATAACAAAATCATAATAGTTTATAATTATGCTTGTTAAGCTATTATAATAACAAATTATAAGATTCATAACATAATCACAATAATTCGTAATTAAAATTTTTCTTATAATGCATCCTTTCATAACTACATCATTATAATGAACATCACAAAAATTTTCCAAACTTTTCTCAAGATAAAGGGTAATTCATAGTAATCTTTCTAAACCATCAATTCCAAAAAAGTATACTAAAACCAAAACAATATAAACCCTTAACCCCCACCCTTCTCAATAGACAATTCTCAAAAGTTGGAAGAGGCTTATATACTGCCCATGCATGCAGCTTACCAAAACCAACATACAAACTAATGTCACCTTAGCCCCTTCCTTTCCTTCTTCTCCAACACACACATGCATATATAGTAGTGATCATGGCTTCCTAGAATCCTTGCCAGTAGAACACCTGAATGACCCCATTGTATGATAATTGACAAATCGGCTCGGTGCAGATGAACGCCTAGACCCTTTTGGCATGCAATCCTTCACTTCCTTCCCTCGAAAAACTTGTTTCTTGTGATCCATCAGGGGCTTCATGGTCACATCTTCTTGAGCTCTCGAGCCTAATGACCTTGCCATCGTCACATCTAGAGGAGACAACAAGAGGACAAGACAGATGATTGTAATGCAAAGAAGAGTACTAGACATTTTTAGTTTTTTGAAAGAGTTTTTGGGGTTTGAATTATGGGAGAGTGGTTTAGAAGGGGTTTTTATATGGTGGAAAGAGAGAGAGAGAGACTTAAATAGGCTCGTGAGTGGTTTGATGAGGGAAGAGGAAGAAGATATATGTCACAGCTCATTGGTAGCAATTGCAGAGAGAGTACATGGGGTGTGTGGGGATGGTGAGGAAGGAGGGTGTAGTCATGAGTTGGTGAGGTGGGTGTTCTTTTTTTGTTCTTGACTTTGTTGCCTGTGGTAGGAGATGAGGATGCCCGTGAGTTCCTGTCATTTCCATTATGCATACCCCCTCCTTAAACTTTAGCTATTAGTCCATGCCAAAAAGTTACAGATAGAGATAAAGTAAATATAAAATAAAATGTATGACATAAATTTAAATTTGGTATAGATGTGGTCTCTTTTGGATTCTGTAGCATTACTGTTAATTTAATGATATCAATAGAGAAATTTAGCGGGATTTTCTTTTTTAAGATTAAGGAATTATAATTTATTGATTAAAAATTGTGTGTGTGCGCGGTGATAGTTGGAAAGCATAATAAATCTTTTGCTTTAAACTCATAAGCATCATGGGATGTTTCGTCTCCAATTTTTCTCTCTTATGCTGAGCAAAAGAAAGATAAGTGTACAAGAGAGACTTTTTTCCAGTATTTTTTGTGCATGAAATTTCAGTGTCTTCTATGTTAAATTACCTTCTCATTGTATGCAATGTGTCAATTTTTAATTAAAAAATCAATTATATCGGCACATTATACAATGGAGAGAGAATTTAGAAACGAAAAAAATGAGGAAAAATGAAAACAAAGTGTCCTACTCCTAATTTTATAACATGGCACACTCTTTCAATTAGTGAACCTAATCAACCCATTTACTGAGGCAGTTGGAAGCACCATATTGGGCCATGTTTGGAATGTAATTAAGCAGGGCAGCTGAATGATATATATTCTACACTTCCCTCTGATCCTGGTTATGAATCTAACCTATCACCCTTTGTCTTTCTTTATTAGGCCTCCCAACCAAACCTAAGATCTTTGTGCCACGTGGCAAGTTCCCAACAACCTCAAGAGAACTGAAACAGTATTCTGAGTAAGGTGGTTGTACACGTGTCATCATCATCATCATCTTTGAAAAAGTTTGTTTGATTAATTCAAGAGCAGCTAGTTGGCATGGAGGGGTATATATGTATGACCACATAAGCTCTCTAACAACTACCTGTATTGAATATCAGTAATGGGTGGGCCAACGTGTGCATATATACAATGAGATATACAAAATTACATATGTGTGATTTCAGAATGACGTCATAAATGTTTGGGAGATTTCAATATACCAACTTTAATATAAAAGATAGATAGTTGAAGCTAGTTATGTAATAAAGATCCCAACTCCCTCACTCCTATCTTTATTTTAGATGTTGTTATGTCTACACCAGTGATTTTCATTAATTCCTCTCTCTCTCTCTCTCTCTCTTCTTCTTCTTCTTTTTTTCTCTCTCTCTCTCATCTTCTTCTTCTTCTTTTTTTTTTGGTGGAAAAGTTTTATTAATTTTAAGGCAAAATAATACTGAAAATATGTGTTGAAGCATCATCACAAACTATGGTTTTTATATATAACCACTACATAAAAAAGTGTTTGTTATTGTTAATTACAAGAATACCCCCTCAACTTTAATTGTATATCATTTAAATCCCTCAACTATAAAATCGTATTTATTCTCAATTTAATTCACTGGAATGAAATAAAATAAAATGAAATGATTATTCCATCTTAATGTCCATTTTCATATTTAGTTTATTAAAAAAAATGTATTACAAATAGAAATCATTTATTTTATTAGGAGAATAGTCATTCTATAAATAAGCCAAAAAATGATGATTTTATTTTATTGTAGTGAACTATGTTAGAAGCTAAAAAAAATCACGTTTAAAACCCTTTTTCAGTATGCATAATTTGTTTCAAAATTTAGTTATGAGATGAACTAAGAATGATGTGGGGACGTAGTTTTAACTAGAGTTACGTGGGTTCAAAGAGTTTGTCATGTAACATGATCTCAGACTGGTATGCCATGTGGCATGATAAGAATGGCGGCTGAAGTTATGACAAAGTTTAGATCCATAATCACTGTATAACTCGCAAGTTGAGCAATTTTAGTGTTCTTTATTGACATTAGAATGAAATTGAGATTTGAGAAAGCCAATCAAATGGAGAGGAAAACAAATTGATATAAAAAAGATAGGAGACTCTTTGGTTTGGTTTGGTTAGATTCAAATTGTTTTGACGGAATTTTGACAAACCCTCATTCAATCTCTCCTCAATTTTTTCAATCCAACCAAACAAAATAAAAAAGTTAGTTACTTTCACTTCATTTTTTTGCTCCATATATTTTCTCCCTCTTTTTCTCCACAAATCTACCATCCAAACATAGTATAAGGGTTTTAATTAGTTTTCCAAAAGCAAAGAAAATTCCCAAATTGTTTGCACACCAATGGTCCATGGAGGGCCTAATTGGAATTTGACAAACCAAATATTTTGTCAAGATAAGAGAAAAGAAGAGGAAACAAAACAGTTTCAGCTATTTGTATGGACAGTACAGAGAGACGCATTAAAAATGGAGCTCACATTGCAAACTCTATCATTCGCTACATTTCCTAAGAGTAAGCCACCAAACCCTAATCTCTCTCTTCTCTCTCACAACTCATTAAATTTCACAAATTTCCAACCGTTTCATCTGTTTCTTGTAGTCCTATGCGTATGTATATGTATATGGTAGTTGTAGTATCAATCAATTTCATTTTGTTTTTTGATGCATAAGAGCTAAAACTTCATAAAAGAAGCTGATAAAATTGCAACCCAATTTGGGGTTTGTTTAATGGGTGGTTGTTGATAAGTGGGTATGCTTGTCAGTGTGATTTAGGATACCATTGATAGTGATTTGGTGAAACCACCTTATTGATTAGTTTTAATCTTTCGAGAGGATAGAGTTAATTTTCTGCCTCACTTTCTGGTGAAGTTTGGGGAAATTCAAATGGGGACTCTTAAATTTTTTACTGTAAAGTTGCTTCTCATTAAAGATGAATGATTGATGAATTTGGTTTTCAATTAAGACAAAGGTAATTTCTTGGATTGGCTTTTATGAAGCCAATTATGTCAAATTTGTAGTTGTAAGGAAAGAAAAAAATGGAAACACAAAATTTACATAATTTATGGTACTTTTGGATCTATTTGGAATGGACATTAAAGCCTTCCAGCATGGTCTAAGTATTACAGTGCGAAGTTCTCACAAGATTAAGGGGTTGATGCGTTTGTCTTTGTAAAACTGAAGTTCTCACAAGATTAAGGGGTTGATGCGTTTGTCTTTGTAAAACTGCATTTTGATTTTGATGGTGTTGCTATGATTTAGGAGTTGTGGGTGGGAAGTAGAAGTGAGGTAGTACAACATTGGTAAAATTGGTGATGTACATCTCAATTGAGAATATAAAAAGTGTGCTTAGGATTGAGTTTCAATTGAGATTTTTCAACCTCTGGGGAATATTTACTACTTTGAAATTAAAGTTACAGAAATATATTTAATTAACAATTAAAATTGGTCTTAACTTAAAAAAAAAAAAAAAAAAAAACTGCCTTATATGAAATCTACTTGAAACCTATTTGAAGTGTCCAAATTATTTTGTTTATCGAAGTTTGGGAGAAGCATAATCAAGTCAGATGTGATTCTACAATTTTGTTGTGCTTAAAACTCTCAAATGGACTGAATCTGTAAATCATGTCAGTACTGTTACTGTATTTTTTAATTCTGTTTTTACATCTGAAGGCATTTTTGATGAACAACTCTTGATTTGTAAAGGAAACAATGGAACCTTGATTTTTATCTATATACTTTTTAAGTGCAATTAGTTCTTCTTGAACTCAACCGTGCCTTTTCTAATTATTTATCCACTTCTGAACTACACATAACCATATGTTTCATAGTGATTGCTAGTTAAATCGAGAGAATACGGGTCTGCTAACATGGCAAATCCGTCAATTCAATTTGAAGAAAATTACTAAAATAAAATTGTTCCTCTGAAATCCCCAAGGAGAAAATATCCTTACATTCTTCCACTACAGGAACATGGTTCATTTTACTTGTGTTTCAGAAAAGTTTGGTTTTGAAGTTAACTTCCCAAGTTGAGAGCAGAAATCATTTGAACTGGGGTTTAGTTATTTAAGGGCAACATCATAGGGACGTAACCTAGTCCAATATGTCTATTACTGCTAAGATATGGTTGTCAACATTTATGTTGAGATATATGAATCATATGATGGTATGACTATGCTGTCGTTGTAGTGTCAACTGTCAATAACTGAGTGATACACATGATATGGCATTGTTATGCATACTATGGACACATTATACATTTTAGATGCTCATTCATTTTTCTGTGTTTTTACTATTGAAATTTTCAATGATATTTCTTACCATATTGTTTGTAGAAAAAATCATACTTGTGGTCATTTTTGTTCCTTAATGTTCATACTTGCTCAAGAAGAGAAGGTTCTGTTGCTTAATTTTCTGCAATGTATAGTCATTATAGTGCTGCCACAGCACTTTCAGAGCGAGAAAGACTTAATAGAGGCTGTGGTTGATTTCTTAATTTCCCCCCCTCCTGGAATATTCTGTCAATGTTTGAATTAGAAAGCATAATCACATACGTGGCCAGCAAAAAAATACCAAATATGTTTTCGATTATACTTTTTGGTTCTGGTGTGGATGGTATATTATAATCTAAAACAAACTCTTTTCTATATTGGTAATTATATTTGTATGCTGTTAGTTGGGTGTTCAACAACTTGCATTCTACATATTCTAGAACATTTTGCCATAGTGTAGTTTCATAAGCAAACTCATTGATTGTTTTTATATTTGTGTTGTATTATATAATTTAAGCATGATTTCAATATCTTCTATTGCAAGCATATAGCTTTTCCTATCTATATCATTGAATTTGATTGTTCAGAATGCAATCACCATTGTGTTTCCTGATGACCCAGAAATGGAGTTTTGCCTCCTTTACATGTGTGAATAATACATTTATTTCATTTTCTCGTCGTGTTTCTGCCTCTCTTCTAGTTGCGTATGGTTTAACAGAAATTGCCAGTTTATTTGTATTCTACTAGACCATGTGTTGCTAAATGATTTGTATCTGCTCCTCAGTGACTAGGGTCTATGATAAATTCAAAACTCTGCTTAGAGCAAAGATGACACAGAGATAACTTACTCTGTCAACTTCAAGTAATTTTATAATGAGATCTGTTGTAGGAAATCCCAATTAGCAGAAGATCTTTAGACACTTTCAATATAAAGTATTTTTTGGATCCTGTCTGGTAATATTTTGCAACCATGAAAAACAACACTGGTTTGATTGTTAACCAATAATTATTGTAGCTGATCTTACTTTTGATGTTGTGAAGCAGTAAGAGACTCCAAACTTAAAAATCATTGCACATTTGAGAGAAATCATCATTCTGCATCTTATGTGAAGTCAAAAGAACCAAGGAGAAAAATATCTGTCATATCTTCTGCTTTACTAGAAACAGCTGCCTCTGTTGCAGTTGCTGCCACAGTTGTGGGCACAGCAGCTACCCTTCTTGTAAGGAGAACCAAAGCTTCTGAAGAAACTGAGGTGCGTAATTGATTTAAATGATAGAAACTATTACTTCTAGAACCAGTGATGATATTAGGATATAAGTAATTATGCCACTTAAACAATCACCATAGTTGTAAAATAGAGGAATCAGGACTCATCTATAAAAATCTGTTAGCAAAGCAGTATTTGGATGTGCAGTTTTTTTTCTTTTTCTCTCATCAAAGTTTAGTATGAGGAAAATGTTCTTGTTTGATGTAGTTGGGTAAACACACATTCGTGTCTTTGGGACATACTTAGGGATGATTATGAAACATACTTTCAACAGGAAGGCTCTACCTTATGCATATCCCTTTTTTTGTTGAACCAGCACTAAACATTTACGTTTGAGTTGCATTTATTGTGATGCTAAATACCACCTAACTTTTACTTTTTACGACCATTTGACTCATGCTTCTATTTAATATACAAGCATTCCCCTGTTCTTTTGGACGTACTTATTTCCAGAAAGGAAGGTCCCTTTGGATGGGCTTAAAAATGACCCCTCCAAAAGTGAAAAGTCTTTGGCACTGATCTACAGAGTGCACCACTTGACCTGGATCAGAGTTGAGTGAAATGCTTTATTTCTTCTTGAATTTTTCTCAATTCGTAAAACAGAAGTTGATAAATTTGATAAATATTGTCTTTGCTGGGATATTGGAATATGCGTCCCTTGGTGCTTTGAATACTTGATCTAGTAATTGGGCTTCTTAGATGTTTTCAAAATTTTTAGAGCTTTTCAATATATTACTAATTTACTAGTACTACCACTACTGCTGCTACTACTACTTTTAATTATTATTATGATTTTTTAATTTTTTGTTTTTTGCCTTTCTGTTTTTCCTTTTTGTTTTTGTGAAAGAAGCGATGATCAAGAATTTGACCACAACCAATATATGCCATAAAGCAATTTGTGTTCTAAAACTAAAACAAAAGAGAGCTAGCAACGCTGTTTTGTTGGCAAACTTTCATCTTGGCATGCACTTCTCAGCTCTTTCTGATTGCATTCCTTCCTGATACACAGATCCCCTTGAAAAATTGTGAAGACTGTGGTGGTTCTGGTATATGTCCTGAATGCAAAGGTGAAGGATTTGTGCTTAAGAAACTGTCCGAGGAAAGCGCTGAAAGAGCAAGAATGACTGCAAAGAATATGGCTACGAGATACACAGCAGCGTACATTTTCCCCTCTCTCTGTCTCTCTATCTATCTGTTTATCTATCTATCCATCTATTTAACATAAACTTGCCTACTGGATTAATAGGCTTCCTAAGAAATGGAGCTACTGTACAAAATGCTCTTCCGCCCGATCTTGTACTTCATGTGGTGGCCGTGGAAAGATAGCTTTGCTTTAAATGTCTTTGATGCTGAGATAGGTGCTCTTGGTTACATAAAACATACAATCAGGTGCCAGTCTAGAAGATTGAGAGTGAGTTAAATCTTCATTTTGTATATTTCTATATATAGTTGTTGTATATCATTAAAATTCTCCCCTCTCTTTACAGCTAACAATTTAGTGCTATTAGTTTTGTTGAACATCCTTTTTTGTACTTAGTTGACTGTGCTTTGAGAAGAGATGTTAAGAGTAATTTGAATCTACAAGGTTCGCAAAGGATTCAACATCTGATGTGTCTAGACACCATAGTTGGCTAAGGCTTATAGATGGCTATCATGATCTTGATCCCTAGCATTATATATTCCCATACGCTTCTTTAGACTTATTACTTACAGTCATTTATTGGTTTTTTTTATAATATGGTGAAACTAATAGTTGATTTAGGGACTTTTAGAACAATGAGGCAAAAATTAAAAACTGATGGAAATGAAAGATCAAGGAAAGCAGCTTCCATAGGAATTCATGGCATGCTACAATGTTGCTTCCCGTCAGACGTAATTCAAGCCCATCAATTTATTCAAATTGGTGTGGAAATGTGTTTCTAGTGAACTGCCTCCAAGATATACAATGAAGCCCTACACCATTGTTGTCTAATTGCATCTTTGACTAACGAAGAAGGATTGCCAAATACCCACTGAATATTTTGCAGGTTTTCTAGAAAATAGACATGCTATTTTCTGCAGCAAATAAAATGCCTATGAGATCGTGACAAGAATAGGGAGAACCTTGATTGGATCTAGAAAAAAGAGTGCTTCAATATTCAAGAGAGTGCTTCAAATCGGAGAAGTTCAATTCTTAGGTAGACAACACAAATTCTCAAGAGTGCACTTCTAATTTCTCTCTGAGGTGTGTTCAAATGTCTTCCAGTGTGTCCTTTTTTCTAGTGCTCTTTCATGTGTTCATTTAGTGTTATTTCATAAAAGGTTGTGACTTTTGGTTATGCCTATTAGAATAGACCTGTTTTTGTAGCCACTAGATTGTGTCTTTTCATGATTTTGTGGTTTATATTGTGTCCTGTCATTAGAGGACACTTCTATTTCTTACACTTTGCAAAGGGTTATGATTCATCTCTCTAAAACTAGAACTCTAATTTAGCTCTAATGAGGTGGAAAATTACAAAAAAAAAATAAAAATAAAAATAAACAAGACCAAAACATCATATCAGAGTGGGACCCACCTTCCATTAGGGCTATTAGAGCTCCTATATTAGAACTCTAAAGCATTTTTGCTTTGCAAATGGGTATGATTGATTTCTAACCATAAGATCTCTTTATTCAAATAGACATACCACTAGTTTTGTCAGCACAAAAACCTTCATATCCTACCATATCCAGTGATTTGAAAATTCTCTAAGCTAAATGCTATTAGATCCTGTTTGTGTTAGTCCATTGACGGTGGAATTGGATTAACAATTCAATCAGTCCCATATATATCAAGTTTGTTTTGCAACAATGCCATGGGACTACAAAGAATTAGGCAGTTAAGAACCAAACTTGGTCATAATTGAAGGGGTTGACTTTCTTGTGCAAAAGATGGGATTGGTAAGTAGCTGCCATAGATGTGTTCTTATATACATATGCATGTTCTTTGTACACTCCATTAATCCATTATCAGTGTTTAATTCCTTTCAATGAGATTTTAATAAGAAAGGAAAATGTGTACCTATTACAAAACACAAAAGAGAAAATAAAAAAAGTGAAATCTCTGTTACAGATTGTTGCTATCTTGATGGTTATTTGGGGATATGTATGCCCTTTCTTCTGCGTATGAAGTTGGTTTGAGGTTTATATTCCTTTTTGCTGATTGTATTAGCATTATGGTTGCTCTGTGTGTGATTCTGTGCATTTTGTTTTTTTGTGAAATATTTACCTACATATAGGATCAATGAATCTTAAAAATAATATAGTTATGGGTTCTTCATTGACTGTCATATTGAGGAGCAAGAAAATTTTTTTTTTTTGGCATATCAAAATAGAAAAAACAACATTCAATGGAAAATATAATTTGATTATATTAGAGTCTTTAGATAATGGGTTCCATGCACTTGTACATTTTTAGGTGGAATACCCAAAAGTCAACTTATGTACTTCATCATTTTCTTTTGTATGGCATCAGCTTTCACTGGACACCCATGCACTTATCAACATCAAGTTTAATTAATTAATTATTTAATTTAATTAATTAATATTGTGTATCATTTTGTGCCGTTATTCACACTTGACATGTCTAGCTCAACAAATTGAATAAAACAAAACTGCCCTTCTGGTGTCACTGTTCGTGCTTATGTTTAATTTAAAAAATTTGAACCATGCAACTTGATATTTTCTCAACAATCCAATATTTGACATTTTCTCAACAATCCAATATTTTTTTAACACACTTAATCCTAATCCAATGGAGGATTTATGGTTAGTCTTTGAGAGAAGGAGACTGCTACGCACACAAAATTAGTCACATATTTAGACACTGGCATTGCATGCTTGTAAATCCGACACATGATCGTACTTTATATTTTTACTTGATTATTGTTATAGCTGACAGAAGCTTTTTGTTTTCAAAGTGAAATATCTCAGATCATTTTATATGAAAATTTTGTATGCATTTTATATTTATATATGTGAGGGGTGGTTTTGCAATACTCCTTCACTTCAAACAAGTCCTTAAAAGATCCTTGTTCTGTTGCCTGAAATAGGAAAATACTCTGGTCGGAGGTGCTGGAATTAGCACTCCGAAAAGCAAATTAGTTTTTTTAAGAGAAAAAGCAGTGTTTATATTTTTAAGAGTGTAAGTTTTTTAAAACATACCTTCTCATTTACTCTTTCCTTTATTTTATAGAGTCATTCTCATAGATACCTTCTCATGTAGCTTAGCTCTTGATCATTGCCATATCAGAGTCTATTTCCCTATTACACCTTTAAAAAAGGAAAATTCGGCCCCACTTGAAGTGGATTGCCATGCCGACTTCCTCGATATACTTGGTCCTGGACGTACGGTCTAAGTATCCTTCACTTGGCACGTTCTTCAGCTCACTTGAATTTACTCGGCAGTGATTTGTTTGAGTCCAGTGAGTTTTGACTGAATCTGGACCATCAAAGATGGGCTTGTATGTGCCCTATTTACCAATTAGAGATTCTATTTATTCAGCTCTCACAATATGTGATTGTTCTTTTCATTTAAGTTAATTGAGATAGATATGAGTGTGGCAGCCTAATAATGGACCACACGCCATCTTTGTTTTTGTTTTCTTGTTAATACATTGTTTTAAATGGAGTCAGTGAACCCAAAACCTAACGGATTAGTTTATGTATTGGGTTTACGGTCTCTTTTTTTTTTTTATGCCTGAAGTTTCATGGTCAACTTATTAATGTTGTATTCACTTTGTTTATTGTTCTGACTTTTTTATTTTATTTTATTTTATATTATTTCATGCTTATCATTAATTGGATTGGATCAATATCAAAAAGGAAAATATTATAACTTTCAAATTTTTTACTAAATAAATGATCAAATATCTCATATGAGTGTGGGTATATAAAATTACAAACCCCATACTCATGTATGATATTTGGTTATTTATTTGATAAAAAAGTTGGTATTCCTAGCATTACTGGGTAATTTTCATCCCATGAATTAAAGAGTTGATACACAACTTCTTCATTCTTCGTTCTTTTTATTTTTATTTTAGGGTAAAGTACATTGACACCCCCTGAAGTTTATATTTATTACAATTTTCTTTTTATTTTTTAGAAATTACATCTCCCTTCTTGAAATTTAAAGTTTCATTACAGATTCCCCCTCAGCAATTTAATTTTTTTAAATACCAATTTTTCTCTCATTGGGTAAATTACATTGACACCCCTCACATTTTAGAAATTACAATCCCCTCCCTAAGGTTTAAAGTAGTATTACCAATTGCCCCCTCAGTTAGTATTAGTTGGAAAAAAAATTCATTGAAAAAAAAAATTAATTGAAAATTTTTTTTTAGTAAAATTTTTAAATTTTTGTTTAAAAGTCAACGTAAACTCATTTTTTGAATTTACATTTTTTTCTCAAATTTATAAATTGAGACAACCATTTATAAATTAAAAAAATTATCAAACAAATTTTTATGACAGTTTTTAAAATTTTTATAAATATAAATTGAAAACTAAAAACGAAATGGTTACCAAGTAGGCTTCAGATGATAAAAATGTCGTAAAGTTAACAAATAATTAAATAAGTTACCAACGTAAGAAATGACTTATCAAAAGATTCTTAGGCTATATATGGTTTGATTTTTAGAATTTTTTTTTAAAAAATTAAAAATTAATTTGATTAAGAAATGAAAAATAAAAAATAATTATCATTTTTATATAATTTTTATCTTTCGAGTGGTTAGAAATAATTTTTTATAAATTAAATTGAAACAGCTATACATATGTATATAACTTGTCCAAAAGTTAAAATTATAATTATTTTTTACCTTTAGATGATAATTATTTTTTATTTTTTATTTCTTAACCAAATTAATTTTTAATTTTTTAAAAAAATTTCTAAAAATCAAACTATACATAACCTAAGAATATTTTGATAAGTCATTTCTTACATTAGTAACTTATTTAATTATTTGTTAATTTTTTGACATTTTTACCATCTGAGGCCTGTTTGGTAACCATTTTGTTTTCAGTTTTCAATTTATACTTACAAAAATTTTAAAAACTGACATAAAATTTTGTTTGATAATTTTTTTGATTTATAAATTGTTGTCCCAATTTGTAAATTTGAGAAAAAAACGTAAATTCAAAAAATGAGTTTACGTTTGTTTTTAAACATAAATTTAAAAATTTTACTAACAAAATTTTTTTCAATTAGTTTTTTTTTCCAACTAATACTAACCGAGTGGCCAATTGGTAATTCTATTTTAAACTTTAGGGAGGGGATTGTAATTTCTAAAATGTGAGGGGTGTCAATGTAATTTACCCAGTGAGGAAAAAATTGGTATTTAAAAAAATTAAATTGCTGAAGGGGAATCTGTAATGAAACTTTAAACCTCAGGGAGGGAGATATAATTTTCAAAAGATGAGAGAGAAACTGTAATAAATATAAACTTCAGAGGTGTGAGTGTAATTTACCCTTTATAATTATTATTTTTTCAATTATGATACGTTTCATAACATGTGTTTGTAAAATTATTTTCTATTAAATTCATGATGATTTATGCAAATTCTATTTTCTGGTTTATATTTTTAAGCTTATTTAAACCCTTATCATTTCAAAATAAGCACTTTAATGTAATTTGTTTCGTATCACGTATATTTTCACTTTGTTTGGTATGTATTA